CTTTCATTGGCTATTAAAATCCAAAAATTTTACCTGCCTATAACCTGAATACAACTCCATTTTTTTATTAAACAGCTCTTTACACAGTTAGCTAAAATTCAACTAGGATGTTTACAATTGCAGCTTAAGATTTGTCTGCCTTGAAACAGTAAAAATAATCAAGAAACACGCCCACTTAAGTAAACATAAACCAAGAAAAATAAGTTTTCTGCAAATGTTTAAAGCTTTGGAAATATGGATTAGAGTAACTACAATCAAATAATTTTTTTTCACGTGATATTGTTAACGCTTCAGTGTTTCTTATATAAAAGTTTATTGAATAATAAAAACAATCCACGATCGCTCAAATATACTCGATTATTTAGATTTCTTCAAAAACATTTATACATAAAATGTTTTTAGTTAAATATTACTTTTTTGAAAATTGAAAAGTTTTTAAATTTTCAAGAAGTATTGTCTAAGTTGGTATTTATTATTAATTTACAATGTCAGTATCATGGAGTGTAAGAAAGAGAACGCAAGGAAATGATATTTTTAAATCAATAACAGATGGTCTTGCGCCAGTCTTAAAGGAAACACGACTAAACGAAGCGTTAAAGTTGTACCAAGAAGCTATTATTCCCCAACTTTTAGAAACTGTTTTTTTGGTCCTTTAAATTTAAGAAATTTATAAAATATAATAATGATTAGTTTACACAGCTACCATTTGTTTTTAAGTGTCCATGCACCGCTTTACCTCAAAAAACTACTATTGACATGATGAAAATAATTATTTGAAATTTTATTGAACACAGTTGAATAAAAACTTTATTGTTAAAAAAAGAAAAAAAAAAAGTAATTAAAAAGTTTCTATTATTTCCATTTTTTATTAATTTCTTTTTTTAAAGTTATTTTTTTACCGCTCCAAAAAACTACCAAAAATTGTTTATATTTTTTAATAAAGTAGGGTATTAGTGAAAAAATATATATTTAATACCAGCATATTAAAATTTTGATTGACTTAATGCCAATAAACAATACAAACTATTTTTTTTTAAATTAGTTACTCACAAAAACAGGTTAAGCACTGCACTTCCAGAGGGGTAGGATGGATTTGAACCTCAAATCTCTTGATTTAAAGCTGAATGTTCTACCACTATTTATTATATTTATTAAATGTATAAATATATGTATGTATGTATAATGTGTATATATATATATATATATATATATATATATATATATATATATATATATATATATATATATATATATATATACATATGATATATATAAGGTATGTGTGTGTATATATATATATATATATATATATATATATATATATATATATATATATATATGTGTATGTGTTTACGTATATATATATATATGTGTGTGTATATATATATGTTAGGTTTATCCTGCTACTGGTAACATGTAACCCAGTACAATCTGCTTTATGTACTGCTGCCTTGTAGGATACGCCTTTTTAGGCAAAGGCTAGGAGATGCTAACTCTAACAAAAAACACCCCCTGCCTAGGGCTCTTGGTTGAATAAAGGCTAGAGATGGTGTCTCTATAAAAATACTCATCTTGGGCAAATGTTAAATGCATCCGGCTGCTGTCTTGTAGAAGGCCTCTTAGGCAAAGACTTAAGGGGTAAACAGATTCTATCTGTTGACCAGCCTCGCACCCCCTTCTTCATCTATTACGCTGGCGCAGATGTATTTTGAATACATTGTTTCTAGTTTAGGATGCTTAATGCTGAATTTTCTTGACTCGATGCATGGGTTGTGCTTGTATCTCTGTTTTTATGACTAGGCAACTCATTCTATTATCTCCTAATGAGGGTACAGCTCTAAAACTCAGTTTTATGGTTCTGAGGCTGGCTGGTAGTCAGGTTTCTCAAACTCTGTGGTAGCTCTCAGAGAGGCTGATTCCATCAACAGCTGTAAAATATCAAAGTACTAACAGCGCCATATTGCGCATGGATGGTGTGCCTGTTTGTACTTTTAGTGTGTATTACCAAGGCCATATCGAAGCCCTTTGTTACAGCTTAGGGTTTATTGATAGTAATGAGGCAATTGCTTGGGCTATTAAACAGTGTACTGAGTACTATCTATGCTTCAAGTCAAGTCTTTAACAAATTTAAAAATGAATAAAGTAACAAAAACTATAAAACACAAAAAACCACAATCATCACCAAGTTCGCTAAACCTATCATTAATTAATATTCGTGGTTTTCAAAGTAACTCTGTTGAGTCTTATCTCTTGCAAAGTCCACCAGACCTACTTGCTCTTTGTGAGACTAATTTGAGTTCAGCTGTCTCATCTTGTGATCTTAGTATTGATGGTTATCTTCTTTTAATTCGTAAAGACTCCAATAGTCACATGCTTGGCCTGGGCATTTCCATTCGTAAGAATTCACCCATTTGTCGGGAAACTAGGTTTGAATCCACAGACTACTCTTTTATGTGCTTTCATTTAGCACCACTTCACTCTATCACCTTTCTCTTTGTTGTGTATCGCTCTTCTTCATCTCAAGACTGCACTCTTCTTGATGTTATTTCTAACCATATTGACTACCTTATAGCTGACTGGGACTCTTTCCCTGATTTTGTTTGTGATGGCCCTTGGGTAGAAATCTTTCGTCTTCCTGTTGACAATGTGCTTCTTACATAACTTCGTGGATTCAGGCTGGCATGGAATTCTTTATTCCTTCTCAACGATTCCAGGTCAAGCCTCACTCTTCTCCATGGTTTTCCTCACCTTGTAATGCTGCAATTGCCAATCGAAACCATTACTTCCATATCTATCAGCAAAACAATTCTCCAGAAAACAGATGTCTGTTTGTTACTGATAGGAACCATTGTAAAAAAGTTTTATCTAACGCCAAAGCCCGCTATTCTCAGATCATGAAATCTCGTATTTCATCACAAAAGTTAGGCTTTTGCGACTTCTGGAGAATCTTTAATAGTATCAATAATAAGGGCAAGTCTGTAATTCCACCTATTTTGTATGGTTCAGACTTTGTCACCTCACCTAAAGACAAAGCTGAATTGTTTGCTAAGAACTTTTCATCGATATCATCTCTTAATTCCACTAGTTGCGTTCTACCTGATATAGCCATCAAACAGGTTGGTTCATTGCTTGACATCATTATCACTTCAGCTACTGTACCTAAATCTAAAGTGATTTCCTGCTTCGACTATTCTACAGCTTGTGGCCTGAACAACATACCTGTTATAGTCTTGCAGAAGTTATCTCCGGAGCTGTCATCTATCCTTTCAAAACTATTTAACAAGTGCTTATCAGAGTCTTGTTTTCTAGCCTGCTGGAAAGCAGCATCTGTTATCCCTATTTTTTAAAATTCTGGAGAGCAATCTGACTTGTCTAACTACCGTCCCATTAGTCTTCTTCCTATCATAAGCAAGGTTTTTGAATCTTTAATTAACAAACACTCAATCTCTCATCTAATAACTTACTCTCTGATCATCAATATGACTTACTCTCTGATCATCAATATGGATTTCGATCTTCTTGTTCTACTGCTGATTTGCTAACAGTAATAACCGATAGGTTTTATTGCGCATTAGATAAAGGTGGAGAGGTTAAGGCATCGGTCTTGACATTTCTAAAGCGTTTGATTAAGTTTGGCATGCTTGTCTTCTCCACAAGCTTTCATCTTACAGTGTATCTGGAAACATCTTTAAGATTATTAAATCCTTCCTTTCCAATCGTAGTATAAAAGTTGTCCTTGATGGACAGCACTCTTCTTCTTATTCTGTAACCTCAGGAGTTCCTTAAGGTTCAATCCTTGGCCCTATACGTTTTTTAATTTACATTAACGATCTTCTAGATATTCTCACATCTAAGGTGGCACTGTTCGCTGATGATACTACTATTTATTCTTGTCATGATAAGAAGTTAACTCACTCTGATTGCTTGCAGGGGGCATGTGAGCTTGAAAAGGATCTCACTTCTGCTACACCATGAGGCTCACAGTGGCTGGTGAACTTTAATTCAGATAAAACTCAATTTTTTTTCAGCTAATCATTATCGCAATAATTTAGACCTTCCTATATTTATGAACGGTAATGTACTTGATGAGTCATCTACCCTTCATCTTCTAGGATTAACTCTTACTTTTGATCTTTCTTGGAAACCTTATATCAAGTCCGTTGCAAAATTAGCATCTGCTAAAGTTGCATCTCTTTATCGAGATCGACACTTTTTAACTCTGGATTCTATTCTCTATCTTTATAAATCTCAATTCCGTCCTTGTATGGAATACTGTTGCCATATACTGGCCGATCTTCTAATGATGCCCTTTCTTTTTTAGACAAGGTGCAAAAACGCATTGTAAACATAGCTGGACCTGCTCTTGCAACCAACTTTCAACTTTTGTCACATCGTCGTAATGTTGCTTCTCTTTCTCTTTTCTACAAATACTATAATGTGCACTGCTCTAATGAGCTAGCGTCTCTTGTGCCATCTACTAAAATTCATTCTAATGTTACTTGCCATTCAATTAAGTCTCATCCTTTTTCTGTTACTGTTCCTAAGTGCTCCAAAAACTCTTATTCGTCTAGTTTTTTCCCTCGAACATCAATTCTTTGGAATTTGCTTTCATCTGTTCAATTGTTATCTTGCTCTACAATCTTCATCTTTTCTTCTTCTTCATCTCATTTGTCTGTCAATTGTTATCTTGCTCTACAGTCTTCATCTTTTCTCTTCCAGTAATTTCTAACACTAATTAGTGGTTGGTTGCAGCCTTGTTGGAAGCGAAGATGATTAAAAAAAAACAAAAACAAAAAAAAGCATAAATATCACACCATCCCTCCCTCAAAAAGTTTTGAGCTAGTTACATTCACAGTATGATCTTAATGAGTGGTAAAAAACTTCTTTTAAAAAATCAAAAAAAAAAGATTAATTCAAATAATTTAATAATATAAATATATAATTTATGCATGATTTAAAGAAAAATCTAAGATTTAAATTCATAATTAAATTCTTCTTACATCTGCTGCTGCAGGAATAACAGTTTCGGAAGAAGGATCTGATGGTATAATAACAATTTTTCCTTTTGGAAAATGATAGTCTTTAATCAAGCCATTTGATGCACAGAGCTGAAAAGTGGATTTATACAACCAAAAACAAGAAGGATCAGCAGAAGAGTAAGCTACAATTATCACCAGTATAACAAAAGAAAAATGATTAAACACTTCTTTCAGTACCAATTGAATGCGCTTCTCCTATGAAAATATTATAAAAATGTTTTCAATAGGTTTGAAGATGTTTTAAAAAATTAAGCAACAAAAAAAAAACATATCTTCATTTTAATTAATACATTTTTAGCTTTATATAAATATATGTAAAACTATAAATGTAATAAATTACAAAAACAACATCTCACCTTAAGCCGTGCAATACGAAATTCATTTAACCTTCTTTCATCAGGGAGTTTAAAAACTTCTGGATCAGAAAAAAGAACCTCTTTAATTTCATTTTCTTCCTCTTCTCTTGCTAATAAAGAGATTTTACACAAATTTAATTATCAGCAAGTATAGACAATGATATATATATGTTTATTTTTTTCTACTCATGGGCTATCATGGGTTATTTTCTACTCATATTTTCTACTATTTTCAGTGCAAAACTAATGATCGTAACTAAACTGACCATTGCCAGTGCAAAACTAATGACATCTGGTTTAGCAGTCAATGATGTTATGGTGACTTTGTTGACCTGCAGCTCTAAATGACAACCCAAAAGGTCTTATCTCCCTAAAAAAAATAACTAGAACTAAATTGGGCTATAGAAAACAGTGCTGTAAGCAAAGCATCAAAGTTTTAGAAGACCTTGCATGGCTCCTGCCACCACAAAGGCAACATTCCTCTGATATTTGTTTTGTTCAATACCAGTATTGAGAATAACTGACTTTGTTGAGTGTTTAATAACCCTAATAATGCTGTAAAAATATGATTCTAAGCTTAACCTCTATTTTTGCATAAACTTTTTTATCAGATCACCTTAAAAATCTTTCACTTTACATGATGATTCCTTAATAAAAAGTTTGACGCGGATTCTAGCCCAATAAACAATATTGATATGAAAGGAGGCTTAAACTTCTTATTTAAATGCTTTTCCTCGGTGCTCTGCGATAATACTGTAAGGACTTCTGAAGCACAATAACTACACACACACACACACAAAAAAAAAGGACATCAGATTTGATGTCCTTTTTTTGTGTGTGTGTGCTAAAACAAACTTCTACTTATAGTAAAATCAGGAAATCATAACTACTGTCATAACTACTCTAGTATTTCACACACGAGTCGAATTTTACACATTTGTTTAATATGTTGATACAATTACAAAAAATATTCTTTAGAAATGTAGCCAGCTACATTTATAGCAAAAGAAAATTTGTAGACAACATTAGATTTAAGCAGCCTAGAAAGTTGATCTTCTATGCAAAAACTGTTTTAAATAGAAGTTTCTAGACTCAGATGTATTCAGTTATATAAACTGGATAATTTATGTTCTTATCATAGTGCATAAGAAAGCAGCTAAGCAGCTATCTTGTGTCTAGCCAGCTAGTAGTAGTAGTAGTAGTAGTAGTAGTAGTAGTAGTAGTAGTAGTAGTAGTAGTAGTAGTAGTAGTAGTAGTAGTAGTAGTAGTAGTAGTAGTAGTAGTAGTAGTAGTAGTAGTAGTAGTAGTAGTAGTAGTAGTAGTAGTAGTAGTAGTAGTAGTAGTAGTAGTAGTAGTAGTAGTAGTAGTAGTAGTAGTAGTAGTAGTAGTGGTATCTTGTGTCTATGTATATGCATGACTAAAATCAGCTTAAATTATAATTATGTATTAAACATGATTAAAATCAGTTTAAAACATAATTGTTATATAAAAATAATTAGTTTAAATCATAATTATATTGTTATGTAATCCAAAATAAGAACTGCTTTGATTTTTGTGTCTTTGTCATTCAACTGCATGCAAAGTATTTTTTATAGAATTTAGAATTAAAGATATTTTAAATATATTTTGATTTAATTTTTAGGAAATTTTGTTTAAAAGGCTTAATGGGAAATTTTGATTTTGATTTTTTTTTTTTAAACCTTAATTCATCTCCTTAAGGCCATAAAGGTGACTACAATCGAGGAGGCTACTTTAATTATGGTTACAACCCTCTCTCAACTTTATAACTCTGAAACACAAACCTTAATAAACAAGGCTGCTGTGTGGAGAAACAAATTGAGTGCTGTACTACCAGAGACATTTTATTCAGTTGTTTTATTAGCTTTAGACAATTAAAATTTTTATTTGCTTTCGACAAATAAAAACAACTTAATTTAGTACTGCAACAACAATTTTAGATTTTATTATCTTTTTATTTAACTCTAAATTAATCTATAAAAATCCATTTAAATTAATATGGTAAAATTGGAAAATAAATATCTCACCATTTGGGTAGGTTTTTAAAAACTTTTGGGGGGGCGCAATGTGATCGCAACAGGACCCCTATATAAAAGATTGAAAAAATAATTTTAAACCAGAGGTTAATAGAGCATAAGCTTGCTTTTGCCTTTCAAGCTAAGTTAAAAGTTGATCCATGATGACATTAGCCTCAACAAGTAGTAAACAATAATCCAAAAAGAATAAAAAAGAATACTCAATGAGAGGGTTCCCATTCATTAATATAGGAATGTTGACAGTATTGCAATAGTTGTTTGCAGTAAATAACTTTTTTGCAGTTAAAATTTACAAGCCACAATTCATATAGAAGACAAAATTAAAGACCAACCAGTTCATATAAACCTAATTTTAATAATCAAAATCAAAAAATAAAAAATGTTAAAAAAAATATTCAGTGTTTTGTTAAAATCTTTTTAGCACTATTTTCACGAATGCTTCATTAAAAAATTTTTTTTAAACGTTTAAGGGTTATTCAATTGTTCATTAGAGTTATTATTTGTTTATTTTTATTTAAAAAACATATAAAAAAACAAATTACTTTGGGGTTTGTAAATCACAGATTCTCTGCCAATAGTTGAAGGAATTTTTTTCAAGACAGAAAAAAAGATTGATAACAGTACTATCTAAAAAAAAAAAAAAAAAGTTTTATAATATATGCTATTAATGATATTTATAATAATAAGTTATAAAATCTATATAATCTATATAAAAATAAATTATAAAATTGCAATAATAAATTAACTAAAATTTACTTTATAATAAATTATAAAATCTAATAATTATATTTAAACAACAATATCTAATAGATAGCTAAATAAGAATATTTATAATAATAAATAAATCTATATACAAATAAATATCTTAAACTATTACCTAAATATAAAACAAGAATTAAATTTAATTAAAAACAACTTAAACATGAAATAATCATGATATTTATATCTATGATATAAATATAAAATAAGATTCAAATTTAAGTATGAATATATAATAATATTTGACAAATGACAAAAGTCATTTGTTTATTTATTAAACTATTTAAGAAATTTACAATAAAATTATGTTACATTGATACCATTGATCAGTTTATTAAACTATGTAAGAATTTCTAAACTAAATTATGTGAGAATTTCATAACTAAATTATTTAAGAATTTCATAACTAAATTTCATAACAGGACAATATGTAAAATAAGTGGGTGTTGTATTTGGATTTAGGAACTTCATTAAAACTATTGTAGATTTTAAAATACTGACACAAATTGGTTCTCATTGATTTTTTTTTATCCATTTTAAATTTGTTTTTACTCATTTTTTTTTACTTATGTTTGTTTTTTCACTTGATCTCAAGAAAGCATCTTATATTTCTGTAACAGAAACAATATCTGATTTTTTGGATTAAAATAAAGGGCTTTGGTATCTCCTCTTATAATATTATTTTCTATTCTATTTTTTATTTTATTTTATTTTGCTATTTTATGCAGTAATATGGCCTCGTTGGTTTTGATAGTCTTGCTGTTTTTAAACAAGCTAGACCATGTTTTGATTTAGTAGACAACTCATTTGAAAGTTTAAGAATTGTATCTAATTGAATAATGGTGTCTTAATAAAAATACTCATCTTAGGCAGATTTTAAATGCATTAGGCTACTGTCTTGTAGAAGGCCTCCTAGGCAAAGACTTAAGGGGTACACAGATTCTATCTGTTGACCAGCCTTACACCCCTTCTTCATCTACTTGGCTGGCGTAGATGTATTTATAATACATTGTTTCCAGTTTAGGATGTTGAATGCTGATTCCTCTTGATTCTATGCATGAGTTTTGCTTGTGTCTCTGTTTATATGACTAGGCAACTCATTCTATTATCGTCTAATGAGAGAACAGCTTTAAAACTGAGTTTTATGGTTGAAGCCGGCTGGTAGTCAGGTTTTCCAAACTCTGGTAGCTTTCAGAGAGGCTGATTCCATCAACAGCTTTAAAATATCAGAGTACTAAAAGTGCCATGTTGCATGGATGGTGTCCCTGTTTTTACTTTTAGTGCCCATTGTTAAGGTCACATTTGGAGCCCTTTAAATAGGCTTTGGGTTTAGTAACAAGTCAATTGCTTGAACTATTAAATAGTGTACTGATTTCTATCTGCGCTTTGAGTCAAGTTCTTTAACAAATTCAAAAATGGCTAAAGTACCAAAAACTATAAAACTCAAAAACCTATTGTCATGACCTAGTTCTCTAAATCTATCATTCGTTGTTTTCAAAGTAACTTTTTTTCTGTTGAGTCTTATCTCATACAAAAATCACCAGACCTACTTGCTATTTG